TGGGAAGGGAGGGATAAGGGCAGGGAAAAAGAAAGAGGGCATTATGATTAGCATGTATAGTGCGTGGGGGTCACGGGGAGGGCTGCACAACACAGAGAAGACAAGTAGTGATTTTACAGCATCTTACTATGCAGATAGACAGTGACTGTGAAGGGGTATGTTGGGGGGACTTGGTGAAAGGGGGAACCTTGTAAACATAATGTTCTTTCTGTAATTGTAGATTAATGATACCAAAATAAAAAAAATTTATGGGAAGAACAAGAAGAAAAAAAGAATGACTTCCACAGTTCTGTCCCATAAAACCAAATGATGGTCTTGCATTTACTGATTTGATAAAACACCAAAAAAGGCTAGGTTTAAGGGAGATGACAAGTTGGGTTTTTAATATGTCAAATCTGGGTGTCTTAAGAAATCAGGACAAGATACTAAGCAGGCAACTGGATATTTACAAATGAAACTCAGAGAAGATTTCTGGCTTTAAGCTAAAAAACTGAGAATCATAGACATTGCAGATGCTAATTGGAGGCAGGAGCTAAAATGACATTTCAGGAGCTTAGATGAGATTGCCTAATAAGAGAAATATGTGATCCCTTCCCAATCAAGCTTCAGTATATGAAGTAGCATACACTCTGTTCTCTACTTCATTTTTTTTCTTATGGTATGATTGATATACACTCTTATGAAGGTTTCACATGCAACAATGCGGTTACTACATTTACACATATTATAAAGTCCCCACCCATACCCCAGTGCAGTCACTGTCCATCAGTGTACTAAGATGCCACAGATGCACTGTGTGCCTTCTCTGTGCTACACTGTTCTCCCCATGATCCCCCACGCCATGTGTACTAAATATAATACCCCTCAATCCCTTTTTCCCTCCGTCCTCACCCACCCTCCCACATCCCTCCACTTTGGTAAGCACTAGTTCATTCATGGAGTCTCTTGAGTCTGCTGCTGTTTTGTTCCTTCAGTTTTGCTTTATTGTTATACTCCACAAATGAGGGAAATCATTTGGCATTTGTCTTTCTCTGCCTGGCTTATTTCACTGAGCATAATGTCCTCCAGCTCCATCCATGTTGTTGCAAATGGTAGGATTTGTTTCTTTCTTATGGCTGAAAAGTATTCCATTGTGTATATGTACCACCTCTTCTTTATCCATTCATCTAGAGATGTACACTTAGGTTGCTTCCATATCTTGGCTATTGTAAAAAGTGCTGCAATAAACATAGGGGTGCATATTTCTTTTTGAGTCTGAGAAGTTGTGTTCTTTGTGTAAATTCCAAGGAGTGGGATTCTGGGGTCAAATGGTATTTCTATTTTTAGTTTTTTGAGGAACCTCCATATTGCTTTCCACAATGGTTGAACTAGCTTACATTCCCATCAGCATTGTAGGAGGGTTCCCCTTTCTCCACATCCTCGCCAGCATTTGTTGTTCTTAGCCTTTTCGATGCGGGGCATCCTTTCTGATTCGGGGTGATATCTCATTGTGGTTTTAATTTGCATTTTCCTGATGATTAGTGATGTGCAGCAGCTTTTCATGTGTCTGTCATCTGAAATTCTTCTTTGGAGAACTGTCTCTTCATATCGTCTGCCAATTTGTTAATTGGGTTATTTGCTGTTTGGGTGTTAAGGCGTGTAAGTTCTCTATATATTTTGGATGTTAACCCCTTGTAAGATCTGTCATTTACAAATATATTCTCCCATACTGTAGGATGCCTTTTTGTTCTGTTGATGATATCCTTTGTCATACAAAACCTTTTTAGTTTGATGTATTCCCTTGAGTTCATTTTTCCTTTTCTTTCCCTTTCTTGAGGAGATGCGTTCAGGAAGAAGTTGCTCATGCTTATATTCAGGAGATGCTGGCCTATGTTGTCTTCTAAGAATTTTATCGTTTCATGACTTACATTCAAGTCTTTGATCCACTTTGAGTTCACTTTTGTGTATCGGTTAAACAATAATCGTTTCATTTTCTTGCATGTAGCTGTCCAATTTTGCCAACACCAGTTGTTGAAGAGGTTGTCATTTCCCCATTGTATATCCATGGTCCTTTATCATATATTAATTGACCATATATGGTTGAGTTTATATCAAGGCTCTCTAGTCTGTTCCATTGGTCTATGGGTCTGTTCTTGTGCCAGTACCAAATTTTCTTGATTACTCTGGCTTTGTAGTAGAGATTGAATTCGGGGAGCATGATGCCCCCAGCTTTATTTTTCCTTCTCAGAATTGCTTTGGCTCTTCGAGGTCTTTTGTGGTTCCATATGAATTTTAGGATGATTTTCTCTAGTTTGTTAAAGAATGCTGTTGGTATTTTGATAGGAATTGCATTGAATCTATAGATTGCTTTAGGCAGGGTGGTCATTTTGACAATATTAATTCTTCCTATCCATGAGCACAGGATGTGTTTCCATTTATTGGTATCTTCTTTAATTTCTCTAATGAGTGTCTTATAGTTTTCAGGGTATAGGTCTTTCACTTCCTTGGTTAGGTTTATTCCTAGGTCTTTTATTCTTTTTGATGCAACTGTGAATGGAATTGTTTTCCTGATTTCTCTCTCTGCTAGTTCATTGTTAATGTATAGTAGGGCCACATATTTCTGTGTATTAATTTTGTATCCTGCAACTTTGCTGAATTCAGGTATTCTAGTAGTTTTGAAGTGGATTCTTTAGGGTTTTTTATGTACGATATCATGTCATCTGCAAACAGGGACAGTTTAACTTCTTCCTTGCCAATCTGGATGCCTTTTATGTATTTGTTTTGTCTGATTGCTGTGGCTAGGACCTCCAGTACTATGTTGAATAGAAGTGGGGAAAGTGGGCATCCTTGTCTTGTTCCCAATCTTAAAGGAAAAGCTTTCAGCTTCTCACTGTTAAGTATAATGTTGGTTGTGGGTTTGTCATATATGTCCTTTATTATGTTGAGGTACTTGCCCTCTATACCCATTGTGTTGAAGGTTTTTATCATGAATGGGTGTTGAATTTTTTCAAATGGTTTTTCAGCATCTATGGAGATGATCATGTGGTTTTTGTCCTTCTTTTTGGTGGTGTGGTGGATGATGTTGTTGGATTTTCGAATGTTGTACCATCCTGCATCCCTGGCATAAATCCTACTTGATCATAATGAATGATCTTTTTGATGTATTTTTTCCGGTATCTACTTCTTAACCTCCCGATTTCCTCTAACTGAATGCAGTCTGAGTACTGCACCCTCTGCTCCACTGAAGCTGCTCTTACCAAGATCACCATAGACTCACTCAGTGCTAACATCAATGGACAACCATTAGTCTTTGTCTGATCTCTTTGTAGAACTTCGTGTTCTTAACAATCCCTCCTTGAAATTTTTTCCTCTTTTGGATTCTGCTATATCACTTGCTTTTGGAATTTCTCTCACCTCTTTGACCGTTTTTAGCAGTCCTCTTTATGGACTTTCTACCTGGTTTTTCGCAGGTCTCTTCTCTCTTTTTACCACATTGGAGGGATGAAAAACTCAAATATCCACAGGGGCCAGGACATGAAAATGAGTGATATAGATACTTTCATATTAAACATGTTACATATTGAACCTTTATTTGCATAGCAACCCCTTTGTTTATTGATAAAGAGCAATGTTTTTTACTTCCAGAAATAACCATATGGGCTCAATTTAGCCACATCTTTCCATTTTGGAAAAAATACGTAGAGATCCTATTAGAGGGAAGTAAAATAGGCAGATGTGGAAACCAATTAGCTGGCTATTGCTGTGATCTAAGAGGGAGAGGATGCTTCTTAGAGAAGGAAAATATGGATTTTTATGTGACATTTCTCAATTCTTTCATATTCTGATGAATGATTCAATTCCCTTTCTTTTTTATATACTATTCTGGAAAAATAAGAAATGTTGGAAGACCTCATGTGGCCATTGGCTGCCAGTTTGCCATTTCTCCTTGAGCAGTGGTATCTGTTTTCATGGTTTTACCTGCTCTTCTAGGTTCATGATTTCCACATCTACTTCTCAGGTCTGAAAAGGCACAGCATCCATCTTCTTAACAGACAATGCCCTTTGGCTATCCCAGAAGCCCCTCTGACTTAGCATCTCTACTTCCTCTGAATCAATTTCCATTCTATCTAGTCACCTAAACGAGATTACTCTCTCCCTTTCTAATATACTCAATCAGTAAAGGAGTTCTGTATTTAATGTCCTTCAGATAACTCCCTTCACCTTTTCTTTCTATCCCTAAAGCCACTGTTTTTGTTTGGCCATTTATTGTCTCTTGCCTGGATTACTACAATAATAACAGTGGCAAGCAATATAGCATAGTGATTAAGAGTCTGGACTTGAGACAGACTGCCTAGTTTTGCTACTTTTTAGCTGTGTGATCTTGGATGAATTATTTAACTTCTCTGAACCTCAGTTTCCTCATTCATAAAATGAGATAATAATATCTACCTTATGGAGTTTTCATGAGGATTAAATGAGTAAATACACACACAATGAAGAGATTGTTATTATTATTAGTGGATTACTTCCTCTGAGCCATTCACTACCTATCTTTATTTTAGCATAACTTGTCCTATTGCATTGCAAATTTTGTATGTGGCACTTTCCTCAACTAGACAATAGCTCCCTGGAGGTTTGGACTCTCTTATTCATCTCTGAATCCCCAGTAAACAGATATGAAAGCACTTCAGAAATTAAAGAACTATCAACTGTAAGATCTTCCTAGCAGCATTCAGAGTTGGGTTCACTATGGAATTTTGTAGGACTGGTTTGTGCCTCCTTTCACTTTTGGGAACTAGTTGGAGACATTGCTTAAGATAGTGGCCCATACTTTTGCAGGTCTTCTGATGAATTACTAGCACCTAGGATTCCTCTGACAAAGTTTCAGGTGAAGAAAGGAATGTATACTGTCACACTAAGCTGTGGGGCTTAGACATTTTAGCCTTGCTGCTCACAAAACTGAGACTCCAAGTCCTGGGTACCCCCTCCCCAAAGGAACTTACAGTCTTCATTAATTTCAGGAATCTTTCTGAACCTGTCATGACCTATAGACTTCACAAAGAGCTGGTCTCTGCTGCTAGTAAGTATTTATGTTACTAGTTAATTGTGTTGTCCTGGCTTCTTGATAATGTTTACAGTAATAAGCCTAGAAAACTGTTTGAAGGAGGGTAATTGAGGGAAAAATGAAAACATACACAAATTTTGTCTACTGCCAAATGAAAGTATTCTTGCATGCAGTCTAATTCAAATATTATCTTGTTTTTCATTAATCAATGTTAATTGAGTGAGCTGGAGAAAACTGCTAACTTGATGAATGTGTCAGGTATGAGGATTTGATTGATTGATTGTGCCTCTTCCATCAGAACAAGAGCATTGGCACCATGAGACAGCAAAATGGTTCCGTTTCAGTTGTTGTTTCAACTTTTTTTCAGCACTCTTCCCTTTCAAATCCTTTTCAATTGTGTTGTGAGTCATTACTTCTAATCTGTTAGCACTAGCATTACACTTTCTAGATGATACATCTGAAGGCAAGGGTGGAGGGGTGAATGGAAAATAAGGCATATAGAATCACCCCAAAAGTTGACAGCTGAAGAAACATTAAAAGTATGCCTCCCTACCTTGACATGACCCTTCTGCTCTATCCACTATGTGCTGTGCAGGCAAAAGATTCAGGGATTTGCTCTCATAATGAATCTTTGTTGAGGCAAGGGACCTTTGATTTTTACTCTGAGCTCTCTCAGTGATTTTCACAGAACCCAGAGGCAGCAGCGTTACCTCCCAGTACCAGAAGAAGGTGGGTGGACAAGGGTTTACAGCTGGAAGTTTATGTATGGAACTTCAGGAGCAATCTGCTCTACCCAGAATTCTGACTTCTTCTGCAGCAGTCCTGTCTTTTCTTCTGTCTTTCTATTTCTTTGTTTTTATCTCTTCGCTTTTATTTATTTGTTTTTACCTCATTTGGTCTTTGTCTTTCCCTCTCTCTCTGTCTCAGTGTCTTTGTTTCTTGACCTTCCTTCACCATTATTTCTTTCTGCATATTTATCTTCTGTCTTTTCATCTCTGTGACTTTCTCTGTCTCTGATTGTCTACTGTGTGTGGGTGTGTCTGTATGAGAGTTTGCTTGATCCAGTTGTCCAGAAGGCAAAACTATATTTCTGTGTTCTCTCTCAGAGTCTGACAACCTGGATTACCGGCTGGGAGCTATTCACTCATTGGTATATAAGCTACCAGAAAAGAACCGAGAGATGCTCGAACTTCTTATAAGACACTTGGTCAAGTAAGTACCTTCTAGGGTATTTTTAGTAAGAGTTCTATTAGAGAATTGGTGCACATGGTAGCACTGCAGGGAAACTGCATGTCACCTTATTAAGACCCATCCCTCAACTGCTTCATCCTGGGAAGACTGAGTGCGCTGCATGAAAAGTTGTTTTTGCCTTGACCCTGATATACATCATCCCAGAGATAAAGTAAGCAAATCACAGGGTTTGTTATCAGATATTCCTGGTTTTGAATCCTAATTCTACCACTTATTTAGCTGTATAAGCTTAGATAAAACTTTATTAGCCTTTGGTCATCTGTAAAACAAAAATAGTATTGCCTGCCAAGCAGGGCTCTTACGTAGATTTGAATGAACAAAGATAAAGTGCATGGCACACAGAGATTTTGAGGACCAACTCAAAAAAAAGACATGAGCAGAGGACACAGAAATAGAAAAAAAAAGGCCTTTAAATATATGGAAAACTATCTAAGTTCACTCACAATAAGAAAAATGCAAATTAAATGTACACTGAGATACCATTTATTGGCAAATCCTAATGGCTTGACCACTTTCTGTTGAGACTTTGGAGCAACAGGTACTCTAATGAAGTACTGGCATTAATGCAATACAGATACTGCAGAGGGGAATTTGGCATATCTAACAAATTTGCATATTCAGTTACCGTTTGACCCAGAAATTCCACTTTTAGGTTTCTACTCTGAAGACACACCTCCACACATACAAAACATCATATACACAAAGTTCATCATTACAGCATAAGTTTAAATATCAAAAGATTGGAAACAGAGTATAAATTGGTACAGCCACTATGGAAAGCAGTATGGAGATTCCTCAAAAAAGAAAACTAAAAATTAGAATACCATATGATCCACTAATTCCACTACTAGAAATTTACCTGAAGAAAACAAAATCCCTGATTCAGAAAGATGTACACACCCCTGTGTTTACTGCCACATTATTTACAATAGGCAAGATATGGAAGCAACCAAAGTAGATAAAGAAGAAGTAGTACATATACACAATGGAATATTATTCAGCCATAAAAAAGAAAGAAATCCTGCCATTCAGGACAGCATGGATTGATCTAGACAGAAAGAGAAATACCATATAATTTCACTTTCTTGTGGAATCTAAAAACAAAACAAAACAAAATTAACAAAATAGCAGTAGACTCATAGACACGGAGAAGTGATTGGTGGTTACCATGGGGAATGGATTGGCGGGGAGGGTGAGGAGGATAAAGGCGCACAAAAATTCTCAATGATTTAAGTCAGTCCTGGGGATGGTAGTACAGCCTGGAGAATATAGCCAGTGATTCTGTAACTTCATCTTATGTTGACAGATAGTAACTGCTGTAGTAGGGGTGAGAACCACTGTGTTGTATACTTGAAACCAATATAAGATTGTATGTCAACTATAATTTTTAAAAAAGCTAAAGTGATTGGAAACAATACAAATGTCCAGTAGGTGACTAGTTGAGTGAGTAATGCTATATTCAAACAATGCAGTACTGTACAACCAAAGAAGAATGAAGAAAATATCTATGAACTTTGTTTTTGTAGTAATTTCCAGGATGTATTACATATTTCCAGTCTGTAAAACAAACAGACAACAATAATAAAACAAAAACCCATGGTAAAAAATAGGGTATAAAACATGCTACCTTTTTTGTAAGAAAAAGGATAGAATAATATATAAGAATTTTCCTACTTCTGTCAAATGAAGCACAGTAATATAAATAAAGTAATGGCTCAAAAAGTTAAACATAGTTATCACATGACTCAGCAATTCTATTCCAAGGTATATAGTGAAGATAAATGAACAAATGTCCACACAAAATCTTGTACAGAAATATTCATAGCAACATTATTCATAGTTGCCCAAAGGTGGAAACAACCCAAATGACCATCAACTGATCAATGGAAAAATAAAACTGGTATAAACATGCAATGGAATACTATTCAGCCATAAAAAGGAATGAAGTACTAATACATGGATGAAATTTGAAAATACTATGCTAAATGAAAGAAGCCAGATACAAATGCCACATATTATATGACTTCATTTATATGAAATGTGCAGAAAAGACAAGACTAGACACAGAAAGTAGATTAGTGGTTGCCTGGGGCTTGATGTGGTGACATGGGAGGGAATAGAGAGTGATGGCTAATGGTTATGGGGTTTCTTTTGGGAGTGGTGAAACTGTTCTGGAATTAGATAGGATGATGGTTGCACAACTCTGTGAATATACTAAAAAACCATGGAATCATACCCTTTAAAATGGTAAGTTTTATGGTATATGAAATATATCTCAATAAACCTGTTATAAATAGAAAGTAATGAAAATGGTTACTAAAGCAGATAGTTGAGGAATAGGGTAGAAGGAATAGGGATGAGAACTATATTCCTCTAAGTACCCCTTCTATGGTTTTGACTTCTGAGCCATATTAGTGTTTTACATATGCAAAAAAATTAAGTCAAGAGGATTACAAACCCTAAAACTGAACACAAAAAGCATATGAATGTAAATATTTATCAAATTATAACAGTCACATATAGAAAACAATTATTTCAACTTGGTTTTTGATACTGTCCTCTGACTCATTCTTAGATATATTCTGAAAACTGAAAGAGCTACAAAAAAGTCATAACATCACTCAGTTGGTTTTATTAGTACTAGTAATATTATAATTTGAAACTATTTCATGTCTATATATTGCACAAGGATAAAGCAAAAAGTTAAAATATTATCATAAACCAAGATTTATGATGTAAGAAAAAGATATAGATGCATAATTCAAGATATAAAGAAAAAAATTCTGTACTAGTAAAGTTGAATTGAAAATGCCAATATGAACTCATGACTTAAAAACAAAACAACAGAAACATTCCTTCACTGAACCAATCTTGCAGTGATTCTACCCCAAAAGCCGTAAACACATAGTGTCCCCACATTTGTTTCTAAATAACATTCCCTTCTCAAAAGTACCAAGGCTTATTAGAGAAATGATTGATTCTAAATTTGGGGCAAGGAAAATACAAGGTGAGCCTTGGGTAAAGTCTACTACTGTAAGCAAAGGAGAGCTCAAGCACTAATAGTGTCCTGACACAGGAACCTACTTGAATAGGCTGACGCTGATTACATCTGGGGTGAAACTGAACATCAAAGACAATGGCTCCTGTATTTGTTTAAAGCACTTTGAATAAATAAAAATTCGTGTGAGGCATAGACTAAGGAAAGCTCTTTATTAAAGAATAATGCCTACTAATAAATGTGGGAGGAATGATAGAATTATAAAACCACTAGTTTGCAACCTCAGAGCCCTAAGTGTTTCAGACATGAATCAAAACCATTGGATAAAAGATGTTTGGGAATAAAATATTCTCATAATTTCAACATATTACCCACAGATTACTTATTATTTACAAATGGAAAAATGTATCTTAATTGATCAAAGTTAGCATCACTAGTAATGGTACAAACAGTACACAGCAAGAAGTATACAACATGAACTGAAATATTTTTGCCAAAAATATTTAACCTGAATCAAATTAAGCCTTTCCAGTTTTCAGGAAATACAAAGAATAGAAAAATACAGAATGTTTGACATTCTGTAAGACAACTGGCTTGGCCTTTTAAAAAAAAGTCAATGTCCTGGGAAAAAGAGGTAGAAGTACTGCTCTATATTAAGAAACTAATGAAATATAAACAAATGCAGTGTGTGAACTTCAGATCTACATTTGAAAAAGACAACTATAAAATAATTTTTGCATGAAATTTGAATATGAAATAGATATTAGAGGATAGAATTGTAAATTTTCTTAGTTGTGAAAATTTTATTCCGATGTTATAGGACAATGTGCTTGTTCTTTGGAGGTGAATGCTGAGGTATTTAGGGTTGAAACAATTTACTTTAAAGGCTTCAGAGAAAAATAAACACAGAAACCAAATGCAGTAAAATAATTACTAAATCTAGGTATAGACAGTATGAGGGTTCATAGTACCATTCTTTCAAGTTCTTTGTATGTTTGAAAACTTTTATAACCAAACGTTGTAGAGAAAATGCAAATAAAAAGTAGTTTTAGTTCCAATAGGAAACTTACACAGGAGAAGAAAATCTATGTTGTTTCCTGTCTTTTGGTTAGTGGCCATTCAAACTGGTGTGAGGTGCTATCTCACTGTGGTTTTAATTTGCATTTCCCTGATGACTAGAGATGTACAGCATCTTTTCATGTGCCTGTTGACCATTTGTATTTCTTCCTTGGAGAAGTGTCTGTTCAGGTCCTCCACCAATTTTTTAGTTGGGTTATTTGGTTTTTGGGTGCTGAGGTGTATTAGTTCTTTATACATTTTGGATGTTAACCCCTTATCAGATGAGTCATTTATAAATATATTCTCCCATACTGTAGGATGTCTTATTGTTCTACTGATGGTGTCCTTTGCTATACAGTCCCACTTGTTCATTTTTGCTTTTGTTTCCCTTGCCCGAGGAGGTATGATCATGAAGAAGTTCCTTATGTTTATGTCCAAGAGACTTTTGCCTATGTTTTTTTCTAAGAGTTTTATGGTTTCATGACTTACAGTCAGGTCTTCAATCCATTTCAAACTTACTTTTGTGTATGGGGTTGGATAATAACCCAGTTTAATTCTCTTACATGTAGCTGTCCAGTTTTGCCAACACCAGCTGTTGAAGAGGCTGTCTTTTCCCCATTGTATGTCCATGGCTCCTTTCTCATATATTAATTGACCATATATGCATGGGATTATATCTGGGCTTTCTATTCTGTTCTATTGATCCATGGATTTGTTTGTGTGCCAGTACCAAATTGTTTTGATTACTGTAGCTTTGTAGTAGAGCTTGACGTCAGAGAGCATAATCCCCCAGCGTTCTTCTTTATCTCGATTGCTTTGGCTCTTCAGGGTCTTTTGTGGTTCCATATGAATTTTAGAACTATTTGTTCTAGTTTCTTGAAGAATGCTGTTATATTTTATGGGA